ACAATGCAATGATGGATTTAGGAACGACTGTATTCAGTGATGGTCAAGCCTATGTAGGTTTGTCACGAGTAAGTAAATTGGAAGGCCTACATTTGATAAATTTCAATCCAGCATCAGTTAAAGCAAACTCGAGAGCCATTGTAGAATATAATCGACTGAGATCTATATTCAAATCTGAACTGCCACAAATCAATCCGTCCGAGAAAAAGGTTGTGAAAATGTACGATCGTCGATGGGATATCTCTAATATCATTGATGATATGCAGAATTATGATTGTGAGGAACCAGAAAGTATAGTTACGTGGAAAATATATGGCCTTTGCAATAACGATGCTGTTTCGTGTTACGCTAATGTAATATTACAATGTGCGTTTCATTGCGTACGTATTAGGCAACAAATACTGAAAAATAAAGCATCGAATGCATTGATTGATGCTATCTGCGCGTATGGTGAACGTAAATATTGCAACATTCAAGCGGTTAGAAGATCTGTCGGAAAACGCTTCGAAGAACGAACACAACAAGATGTTTCGGAATTTTTTACGGCTCTAATATCGACGTATTCCGACATCAATGATGTATTAAAACTCGAATTAAAGCACGTAACATGTTGCTCGAATATCAAATGTAATTACAATGTAACTAAGCTGGAAAGCAGTAGTTTGTTAATATTACCTATACATTCGACATTAAAAAGGAAAAAAGGTGTCACTCTACAAAGTTTGATTAATGTAGAATTTTCTAAATGGGAAACGATAAACGGCAATTGTAACGAATGTAAGGGCACCGTGTTGAAAAAGAAAACCGTAATCGAATCAACTTTATCCGTCGTAGTAATACAGCTCAATTTATATACTTTTGTAAACGGTGCTTCTAAAAAAATTATCAACAATCGGATTACCGCCGTGCCGACGAGTAATATCACGATTAATAAAAAAAAGTACAAGCTAATAAGCGCTATATTTCACGAAGGTGAAGAAATGAATCGTGGTCACTACACGTGTATGTTGAGAGCTGACACAAAATCGGAATGGTATTACTCTAATGATATGGAAGTGTTCAAGAAAAAATGGCCCAAAGGAGCACAAGGGGCATACATATTGTTCTTAGAACAGATTAAATAATGGCGCTGTATAAAGGCTGCCGTAAACGCTACATTAAAACATCAACTGTTCTAGCGCTGTATAAAAGTTGCCGTAAGCGCCAAAATAAAATATCGGCTGCTCTGGCGCTTTATAAAAGCTGCTGTAAGCGCTGCATTAAAACGAGTGCAATAAGTTTCTAATTTGACCTAGGCTTCATGACATTTCAAAAAGTATCATCAAGAAAAAAATTATCAGACAGAAATATGTATGTCGTGTTAAAATCGGAGAGACGAAGAAAAATATATGGTTGCGTTCTCACGAGAATGGGCGATGGAGGGGCCCATTCTTTATTTTCAATATTCATACAAGAATATAAATTCATTCTGTTGCAATTGAAATAAATGTGCAATGTATCGTTAAAAGTTATTACAATTATACAAACATTTACATATATGATTAAATAAAATATATATGTATACTATAATATAATTATATATTTTATATATGTACATATATATACCATATATTTCAATTATTTTGAACTGTATTGCATAAATTGTTACTTATACAAAGTTATGTGATAAGAATCGAAAATATATATTTGTGATACTTGAATTACTATTAATTTATACATGAATTACTATTAGAAAGCTGCTCTATATATCTGTACTTTAAAAAGTAAGTGATATCCTAAAAAAATCATAAAAATGAAAAGGTCAGGCCATGTTCAAAAGAAGGCACTCAAAAATTTAAACGATCTAATAATAAATTATCACGAAAAGTAACTGATATGTTATTCAAGGTGCCAGTTCAAAGTGAACATACGTAAAGTGTATATTATCTAAATTTAGTAATAATATATTACCATGAAAAGTAACTGTGATATTTTATTCAAGGTGCAAGTTCACATTGAACATACATACATATAAGTAAAACTGATTACAATTTGATTCTAGAAAATAAGTGCGATATGTTATTCTTAGTGCACAAAATATAATAGTCGTTTATAGAGATTTGATTTGAAATTCATACTAGCCCGTACAATGAAAAATAATTGCTCGTAATTCCAGAGTACCAATTTGTTAATGACTCAGAAAAATAACATGGCGGCCTGCTCTCAAAAAACTATGATGTTTCTCGATGTCCATTTAGAAATAATGTCGAAGCTCTTACAGAATAATTACTACAACATTTGAAGTACGAAAAGTATTACATTAGAAGAAGATTAGATTAGAATAAGGATTCAACGTATTTTTAAAAGCTCTACACACAACGAAGTAAATATACAAAACTATATACAAATACCTTTTTCTTCTGTGTTTCTGAAGAAAATCTTTTAAATAGAAAATAGTGTCTTGCGATCATGAAGAATAGGTTTTAAATAGCAAGGTTTCATTTGACTTATAATTTTCGATATTATTCACTAAATTAATATGTAATTTTTTATTGTATATTACGACAAATAATCAGTAAACTTTTTAAGCGTATAGCTTTATTGTACTTGACCTGAGAACTGTACATTTATAAATTTTACTTAATATACACCCGTTTCGAGCAACAAGGCAAAGTTTTCTGATCAATAACTTACTCCCTGAAAATACGGTATAACACAAATCGGAAGTTGATACGAAAATTCGAAATTTTACTAAAGAAAGATTGGAGGTTTTTAATTTATACAATTTTCACAACTCTTATTTCAATTATTTATTCTACCCATCGAAAGTTTTTTGAGAGCAGGCCGCCATGTTATTTTTCTGAGTAATTAACAAATTGGTACTCTGGAATTACGAGCAATTATTTTTCATTGTACGGGCTAGTATGAATTTCAAATCAAATCTCTATAAACGACTATTATATTTTGTGCACTAAGAATAACATATCGCACTTATTTTCTAGAATCAAATTGTAATCAGTTTTACTTATATGTATGTATGTTCAATGTGAACTTGCACCTTGAATAAAATATCACAGTTATTTTCATGGTAATATATTATTACTAAATTTAGATAATATACACTTTACGTATGTTCACTTTGAACTGGCACCTTGAATAACATATCAGTTACTTTTCGTGATAATTTATTATTAGATCGTTTAAATTTTTGAGTGCCTTCTTTTGAACATGGCCTGACCTTTTCATTTTTATGATTTTTTTAGGATATATATATATAGTAATACAATAGTAATACAATTACTAAATATTAAGTGCCATGTGCAAATTTTAATAAAGGATCTGTTTCATATAAAAAATAAAAGTGATAGGAGACGAAAATATTGTGATTAATATTGAAAAAATTACCTATAGTCATTAAATTCCAGAATTTTTCAGGAAATTACAGCCTTTGATATGCATCTGACCAATATTTTTATTTTTATCGATAGCATTTATCAATGTATTAATATCTAATATAAAAGCAGAACTGAATTATTATCAAATAATTATGCTAAAATAATAGTTATGAAAGTACTTCGCATTAATCTTATGTGAAATGAATTTCAGTTAAACTAGCTTTTTTTTTCAAATGTAGCTTATGATCTGTTGAACAAAAGATGCAATAATCTCAAGGCTAATTAATAAACAATTATTGAGTATAGCCAGGCAAGCAGTTCGCAAAGCCCGAGTATTTCATATTTGACTGATTGTATAAATCAGTACCTATTATTTAGCTTTGAGCATTACATTTTTTTCAATAGATTATAAGCTACAAACATATTAAAAACCAGCTGATTTAACCGACACTTCACATAACATTAATGTGGGATACTTTAAATTTTTAGTTAATATTAAGAAAACTCACCTAATATTTGCGAGTCATTGATCTCTAAAAATTCATAGCCTTTTTCTTGCAAGGCAGCCTTTTCATTATATATATTTTCATCAATAGATCTTATTTTCATATCATTATATATATTTCATCAATAGATCTTATTTTCATATCATTATATATATTTCATCAATAGATCTTATTTTATATCAGTATCTAATATAAAAGTAAGAAGCAAAATTATATTATATGTTTATCATAAAATAGCACTTATGAAGTTTGCTAATATTAAGAAACTCACCTAAATTTGAGCATCATCATTTTTAAGAGAGTCACAGTTTTCTCTTTGTGCAGCAATCTCTTTATGCATGTATTCCTATCGACAGAGCCTTTCTTTGTATTAAATCTAATTGAGAACAAAAAGAAAAACTACATTAGATTATGAAAAGAATTATTATAAAAGGTTGATATCAGAAATGATATATATTAAAGAAGAAAACAACAGTATCAACCTAAAAAAGGACACCGAGCGTCTTGACGGTTCTTATTATGATATTCTAAAAAAATTGTCTACGTCATCTTAAAAATTGGGTATATATACAGCGCGCCGACATTGTAAGATACAGATATCGATTTGTTTTTTAAAAAAGTACACATTGTGATTATGTTAAGTAAAAAGAAATAATTTTTTAAAAAAAGTGTTATGTTCGTTGACAAAAAAGTAAGTTAATACTATTTATTAAAAATCTAAATGTAATATTTGAGCGGATATATTAATTTGTTCACAGTGTCGTTACATAATATAACAGCATCTGACGCTCTAACTCATGCCAACAAACATGAATTTTGTACTGCGTTCGTCATATAATCTTATAATTGTTGTATTTATTTATGATGTCGAAATGACTAAATTAATTTTTTAACATATTATTAGGATATTGAGAAAGACTGTCGTACAGTCGAAACGTTTATCTTAACTTTTGTATAGTATGACGTAAATTAATAAATAAATTTTTCAATTAATAGCATATAAGCTCGTTAAGTTGGCCTTTTATTATATCACATATTTTAAAAACTACATTATTATCAAGTATTTATGATAAAATAGCAATTATGATATTTACCAATAGTAAGGAAGCTCACCTAGCATTTCAGCATCAATTACAAAAGATTCACAGCCTTTTTCTTGCGAGGCAGTCATACCGTTGTATATATTTTCATCGATAAATGCTATTCTTGTATCATCATCTATAATATAAAAATAAGAAGCAAACTATATTAATATATGTTTATTGCAAAATAGCATTCATGAAATTTGATAATATTAAAGAAACTCACCTAATGATATTTGAGCATCATCATTTTTAAGAGAGTCACAGTTTTCTCTTTGTGTAGCAGTCTCTTCAAAGCATGTATTTTTATCGACAGAGCCTTTCTTTGTATTAATATCTAATATGAAAGTGAAAAGCAAAACTACATTATTATCAAGTATTTATAATAAAATAGCAATTATAATATTTACCAATATTAAGGAAGCTCACCTAGCATTTCAGCATCATTTACAAAAGATTCACAGACTTTTTCTTGCAAGGCAGTCTCATTGTTGTATATATTTTTATCGATAGATCCTATTCTTGTATCATTATCTATAATATAAAAGTAAGAAGCAAAACTACATTAATAAATGTTTATTGTAAAATATCTGTCATAAAATTTGTTAATATAAAGAAACTCACTTAATAGTACTTGAGCATCATCATTTTTAAGAGATTCACAGTTTTCTCTTTGTGTAGCAGTTTCTTCAAAGCATGTATTTTTATCGACAGAGCCTTTCTTTGTATTAATATCTAATATGAAAGTAAAAAGCAAAACTACATTATTATCAAGTATTTATAATAAAATAGCAATTATAATATTTACCAATATTAAGGAAGCTTACCTAGCATTTCAGCATCATTTACAAAAGATTCACAGCCTTTTTCTTGCGAAGCAGTCACATTGTTGTAAATATTTTCATCGATAGATCTTATTCTTGTATCATTATCTATAATATAAAAGTAAGAAGCAAAACTACACTAATATATATTTATTATAAAGCGTGGTTTACAATAGCAGTAAGCAGTAAGAGTAAGCAGTACAAAATGAGGTTTGTTCATTTTATTACTCCCGACGAAATGGGCAATCCAATTTCATACTGTTTACTCTTACTGCTTACTTACTGCTATTGTAGACCACGCTTAAAATAGCGATCATACAATTTACTAATATTAAGGAAACTCACCTAAGTGTACTTGAGCATCATCATTTCCAAATTTATTTACTTTTTTGTTTTCAAAGTTAATTCTTTTGCATATAATATACGGTTTTCCTTCAATTATATTTTCTACTATTTGTTTTAATACTGATTCCTTATCTGAACAAGTTAAAATAAAATTAATTAGTTTTAGTTCAAATTTTTCTGTCTCTCTTTCTCTCTTTCTCTCTCTCTCTCTCTCTCTAGACACACACACACGCAACACGTACGCACGCACACATATAAATATCGTAGCAAATGCAGATATTGTATAACAGCGGCATGACTTTAATATAACAGTTTTTACAATAACGTAACAGTTAAAAATGAAAAATATTGCTACTTACCATTTCTTGGTAGAATATTTGCTGTGTATCTGCGTCGATTGCTATACGTGGCTTTGATAATTCCTTTACTAACACTAATTGTGTTCGACTTGCATACATAATGTATACCGTCATAAAATTTCACTAAACTATACATTTTGGAAAATAAACCAGTATCACGTATTACTAATGGTTAATGGCCTCCTGTTCCTTCCCGCTTTTTTTACAGTCTCAAAATGGCCAGCAAGACCGACGTCGACAATTGACAATCAGTATGTACGTTTACACGGCACTCTTAAGCGGGAGCACACACTCTTGCATAAGCGCATAAGCATATGCATAAGAAATTCGATTGGTTGAATTTCTTATGCATATGTTTATAGACCAATCAAGATTCTTATGCTTACGCTTAAGCGTCTATGCAAAAGTACCACGTTGTGTATAATACATTATACATTTCGGCTATTTTGACAACATCCTATTTTTCATAAAACGGTTATTACAACGACACTCCAAAAGCAAATAAAGAAATTCTTTTTTTAAAATAGCTATATCATATTCATCGAATATGCAAGCAATCAAGATATATAGAGGAAAAGGTGCGAATGTAGCAAGTCAGGTTTTTGAGATATAATAATTTAAAAATGCGAAAAAGGGCATTTTTTCACCTTTTAGTAAGATATAACTTTTAATTGGGATGTGATACAAATTTCTTCGACAGCTTAAAATAAAGCTTGAGACTGTAGTTTATGTAACAAATATGAAAAAGTTCGAATCTAAAGAGTTTATAAAAAATTAATCGTACCTCACAAGATTCTATATTAGTATAAGAAAAAATGCAAAAAAAAAATTTTTTATCTTATAACTAAATTTTTTTATAAACTGTTTAGATTCAAACTTCTTCATTTGTTACATAAACTACAAATACCAACTACCAATATATCAGTACGGATAACATTTGCACTTTCTCTTCTATATATCGATTGCTTGCATATTTGATGAATAATATAACTATTTAAAAGAATTTTTAATTTACTTATAGAATGTCGTTAATAAATGTTTTATGGTAAATATGATGTCGTCAAAATAGCCGAAATATAATGTATTATACATAATTTTGTACTTAGATCGGTTAGTACAGCGACAGTACAAAATTATGTATAATACATATATATTTTGGCTATATTGACGACATCATACTTTCCATAACACGGTTATTATAACGACATACTAAACGCAAATAGAAAAATTATTTTTCTAAATAGCTTTATCATTCATCGAATATGCAAGCAATCAAGATATACAGAGGAGTAGATGTAACTGTGGCATGTCAGGTTTTTGAGATATCTTAATTTGAAAATTTGAAAAAGGGCATTTATTACACGTTTGAATAAGATATAACTTTTAATTGAGATTGATACAAATTTCTTCGACAGCTTAAACTAAAGCTTAAGGCTAGTTAATGTAACAAATATGGAAACGGTCGAATCTAAAGACTTTATAAAAAAATTAACCGAACTTCAAGAACAGAGGATTCTATATATTAGTATAAGAAAAAGTGCAAAAAATAATATTTTTTATCTTAAAAATTAATTTTTTTATAAACTCTATAGATTCAAACTTTTTCATATTTGTTACATAAACTACAAATACCAATATATCAGCACGGATTATATTTGCACCTTCTCTTCTATATATCTTGATTGCTTGCATATTCGGTGAATGATATAACTATTTAAAAGAATTTTTTCATTTACTTGTAGAATGTCTTTATAATAAATGTTTTATGGTAAATGTGATGTCGTCAAAATAGCCGAAATATACATATATTATACATAATATTATACTTAGATCGGTTAGTACAGCGACAGTACCAAGTTATGTATAATACATTATATATTTCGGCTATTTTAACGACATCATATTTTCCATAAAACGGTTATTATAACGACACTCCAAAAGCAAATAAAGAAATCCTTCTTTTAAATAGCTATATTGTGGCGATTATATCGTCACATGTTTCCCCAAAAATCGAAAGCGAAAACACGTATATAAATACGGACATACACACATACGAACACTCACAAATAAACATAAATAAAATATAACAGACGAGACGAAAGACGAAAAACATCGAGACGTAACAGAAAGGAAATAAACGAATAGAACATTTTCGAAGCCTATCGAAGGTGAATTTTTTTAAGGCAAACGATAGGAAGAGCGTTTTACATGCTAGGAGATTCCGCTACCGACAGTCGCCGCGTACAGTCGCACGTTATAGATCCGCACGATTTTTATATATTTCTGTACCGAGATGGAAAGATTGTTCTCAGAATATATTTGGTGTTAACTGTAAATACTCTCTCACAATTATTTTAATTCCCGTCTCGTATCGAAGCGTCTAAGTAATTCGACGCGCGTATAACCAAAGTGGTGACGTCCCGACGTGATCGCGAGCGAGCGGGAATTCGCGATTCTTTTGTGTTCGCGTGAGAGAGCGGTACATTTTTTACTTTTTATTGTGACGACCGGTGAGACGATCTATTCGATCGGACCCGGAAAAGTGATAGTGACCAGTTGCGTGTAAAAAAAAAAAAAACGATTTGACATAATTGTGACGCGAGACGATGGAGTGATCGGTTCGCGCGTAGAGACGGAGGCGCGGGCGTACGAGCAACCGCGTGTGCAAATGCAGCAGGCGGCCCCGATTGCGATGCAGGCGGCCCCGAGTGCGATGCAAGCGGCCAGGTTGGAGCAGCCGCCGGGATACTTTTTCACCGCTCCCGAGATAAACCGTGTTGGCATGCGAATGCCAGAGTTTACGCCGTCGGATCCGGAGCTCTGGTTTAATATCGTTGACCGGAGTTTCCAGGCCGCCGGAATCACGGTCGATGCTACGAAATTCGGCTACGCACTAACATCCATCGGGCCGAATTACACTGCCGAGGTGCGAGATATAATCATGAACCCGCCTGCGGAGCACGCGTACGAAACGTTGAAGACGGAGCTGGTCAAGCGTCTGAGCCTGTCACAGGAGCACAAGACCCGGAGGCTCCTGGAACATGAAGAAATTGGAGATCGCAAGCCGTCGCAATTTTTGAGACACCTCGCTGGAAACGTGGTTGGCGACCCTGTTTTGCGGACGATCTGGCTTAGCCGGTTGCCAGCTTACATTCAGCCGCATCTGGTGACGCGCACGGCAGACACGATCGAACAACTGGCCGATATCGCGGATGCGATTGTTGAGGCGACCCGGGCACCGGCGTTTCAAGTGGCCGAGGCGTCAAAATTTGTGCCACCGCAGACGCAATGCGCGAGCGATCCCGGGGCCTTGGAAGCCAGGATGGAGGTGCGACTGGCGCAAATGCGGCTTGCGATGCAGCAAGAGATGGCAGAACAACTGACGGCCATACGTAAGTCGATAGAATCAATTGGTGATAACCGATATCGCGACGATGATTGACGTCGTTCGCGACCTCGTTCGCGTTCACGTTCACGCCCGCGAGCGCGATCCAGCAGCCGTGGTCCACCGGCCAGCGGCGTATGCTGGTATCATTGGCAGTTCGGAGCGGAGGCACGGCAGTGCAGACCACCCTGCTCGATGCAGATGCAGGGAAACGCAGGAGCGGGACGTTAGAGGCGGCAAGCGACCCGGAACATAGTGCGCACCGCTTATTCGTGACTGACACAAATACGAGAACGAAATTTTTAATTGACACGGGCGCGGATCTCTGCGTGTTCCCTCAAAAGATGGTTCGAGGGCCACGACAGAGATCGACCTACGAGTTATCGGCCGCCAACGGCACACCAATATACACATACGGGACGGAAAACATGACTTTGAATTTCGGATTGCGACGGGCTTTCGCGTGGCGTTTCGTGATCGCGGACGTCGAAGCCAATAATCGGTGCCGATTTCCTCGAGCATTATGGCCTCCTCGTGGATCTGCGCAATTCTCGCCTCGTCGATCAGCTGACGAGCTTGACCGCACGCGGGCGTTGTATCCATTGCGACGTACCGCAGATTAAAACGGTCACAGGGGAGACGCCATACCACCGGTTGTTGGTGGAATACGCGGACATCACAAGGCCGAGCGGACAAATACAAGAAACGATCCACGCCACGCGACATTTTATTGAAACGACGCCGGGACCGCCTGTCGCGTGCAGACCACGAAGACTTGCTCCGGATCGACTCGCGGCCGCGAAAAAGGAGTTCCGACGAATGGTTGAGACCGGAATCGCGCGACCTTCAAAGAGCAGTTGGTCGGCGCCCTTACATATGGTGCCGAAAAAAAGCGAAGAATGGCGACCTTGCGGCGACTATAGAGCATTCAACGCGAGGACGATTCCGAACCGATATCCTGTGCGACATATCCAGGATTT